CCATTTTTTTTTTTTTTTTTTTTTTTTTTTTTTTTTTTTTTTTTTTTTTTGGTAGATTCATCCAAATAAAGGAACAAAATTATATAGATAATATATATAAAAAACCTTCAGACAGCTCTCTCAGCTACGTACCAAGTGTCGAGACACGGTCCGTCCCCTTACGTTATTCAACAAGATCCACTTGTATTTTTCCGAGAGCCTACCCTCAAATACATACTGAATTGACGATACTTCCAGCTTGCATTTTGATAAAAAGCTAGAAGAGGAGCGAAGAGTACTTGGGAAAATTTTCGAAAAGCGGCAATTACAGTCCAGTATAGGACCCTTTAGCCCATTAATGCTCTTCCTTTAGTTGTTGATCGTGCAAGAAAGGATCTCAAAGCACAACTCCGTATGATCTCGTGTCTTCGCATATAATCAATGGCTCCAAGAGAGGATAGCCTGACCCAAAAACAGCTGTCAATATTTCTAAATATGTCTACGGATTGAAAAAGAACTGGTGATGAAGATTTGACCAGGACAATATGGCGAAAAATGGCCTAGCCTTTGTACTTGCCGCGGAAGATGCCGGATTTTTTTTAATAAGCCTTTTCCATCTCGGGACATCTGACACTGATTGGGCTGCAAAGCGTCTTAAGGCCTGCTGCTGGTGACAAGTTCACTAGTCCTTTTGATAGTTAATATCACATGAAAATATGGGGCAGCAAGAGCTTCCAGTCCCAGTACGCCAAGTGTCAAGACCGCAAAGTTTTTATAGTGGTCACACTTGCCACCGGCCATCACAGTAACCTTTACTCACAGCCACCAGGGGTCTTTCCCACGTAAATAAGACATCTTCTTTGCCTTTTTCTAGCTCGCTTATCTGATCAGAGCAGAAGTAACTACTGAAGGAGACTGATCGAAACCCATGACGTACTATTCAATACAACGACAGATTCGTACCAAGAGGACCGTCCAGGCCGAGTTTAACGGAAAGGGGCGTACCCAGATACGACACAAGATACCTATATTAGAGCTGTTTAGCGGTAATGATGTATGTATAGTTTTGTGTTTTTTGTTTTTTTTTAATCCCGATGAATCTATCAAAGTCACTTGCCCTAGGGAGTTCATGATAAGTCCATAGTAGGCACATAACGGCCCATAATACGGAATGAAAACATGGTAGAACCATAGAACTATATATAGATCCGTATGTATCCGTGGAATCTGTATGAGTCGCATGAATCCGTATGAATTTATTTACACCGTATGAATCTGCATTATTCCATATTAGCATGCACATAGAAAACTCATACTTATTGCACACTAGTCCCACAGAACGCCTTAAAGAACAAAACAGCCCCAAATTCCCATAATTCCATATCCCCAAATTGACATAACCCCAAATACCATTATTCCACATTCCCTCAAAATCACAATTCCACGCTATAAAAATTGAAATTTCATATAAATCGCACAGTAATTCAGAACTTCACCTCAAAACCTGTTCTTGTTCCCCACAGAGTCCCTACCAAAAGATTACCCGCTTGTTCTGCACACTTTGATTCCTAAAACACCCACCACTTCCTCCCAAAAAGGGAGGTCACATTGCCAAAGCCTCGCTTCCTGGACTAAGCTGGATGAAACACGGTTGGTGTCACGTGATATACCGAATACAGGATAGGATGTCTGTCCGAGGCGAACTCTTTTACGGTTCCGGTTACTGGGCGTTCGAATGGACACTGGTGACGTTTAGTTTGATGGGCTAGAAACCAAACTGCGTTTTTGAAAGATTTAGAGTCGACTGTAGCAATCCTCATCCCATGTAACCCTCTTTTGGGAAGAGGCCACTGACGAGTTGCTCACGTTGCAACTTATTGCTAGACACTGGAAGGGTGGAGATGTCGAAGCCATTGATGGCATGATCAGGATTTACAAGTATCATTACAGGAATTACTCAGTTTTTATCAGCAGAGCTCCATGCAACAAGCACAGATGATGACGGCATTCTTTGACATTTGCGGCAAAATGGACACAGATGCGTGGTTTACCCCAAAATATGTGAAAAACGAAGCGAAGGTTGAGGACATCCTAGATGATTACAAAACGGCGGTCTAGTCACAAATGAACACGGCAGTCAAAGTACGGAAAGGGACTGAATCATCAGTCACTGAAGAGAAAAAGGTCCGGTTTCTCGCTAGAGTGAAACTGATGGGATACGAAGAGGGTGATTTTTGGTCAGTACGCGTCTTACGAAACCGTGGTGCAGGCAGTAACGCCATTCAATCTCAAGGACCGTTTCTTCGCCAGCAGCAAGATGGTTCTCTCGCGCAGAGGACACTATGAGGAAGGTGTTCAAAATACTTGCGAAAAGCCCCGAAATATGCTGGAACTGGTTCCATAAACATGCGTTCGAGGATTGCACACAGACCCGGCCCGATTCTAAGAACAACCTTGCTTTGTGGTTGTTGCCTGACTGTGAAGAAGTGACTGGAAAAACAAGGAACCTCTGGTAAAAAGGCAACGCAAAACACTTTGCTACTCGATTTAAACATGGCCGATATCGTCTGCTGAGGCTTGCATCACAGGTAGACAACACCAATGAAGGATCTCGGCGACAATGGAAGAACAACGTCCGTCACGCTTGCTGGCCAAACTTGGAACAGTAGGATTTACCGTCACCCACCTCAAAAAGGTCATAACGGATCTCCAGTCATATATGGTCTTGTACTTAAGAATAGCGGGTACCAAATACAAGCCCGTTGGTGTCGGTACCATTCACGTCGGCAGGTATACTGGATCGTTCTTTTGGGCACCCACGCTCTGTGTGAGTGGTGAGTACTCAAGATTTCCCCGATCTCGACACACCGATCATCATTTACACGGACGGACACGAATACGCTGCGAGCGCAAACACACTACCCTCACTTGGTTGGTTAAGGCTGCGAGCAACTTTGGGAATGTCACCGCTACATGACCCGTGAACCAACTTCGAGAAACTCGGGATGAAGATGAGATTCATCAAAGCAACAAATGTGAATTGTTAAGGGCTGATGAACAACACGCAAGGCAGAGGCCTGCATGGCCGATATCCAAGCCAAGATGGCTGCGCAGGGTCCTTTGGATGCCCATTGCCAGAGGTATACGATAACCTCATGCTTGGCACAGAGAGGAAAACGGCAAACGCAGAACGCAAATACCCTCGCATAATTCGGTCTTTGCCTTATGGTGAATCGCAGCTGTCGACTAGTTATGCGGCCGACAAAGCACAGCCGCAGAACCTACCCTGGATTCGTTATTTGATCTGAGCAACACCTCATCACAGCCATTGACCGCATCACGAAGCGGCATTGTGGTTTCACCGCATTTCCAAACACACCTTTTCTCTTATGAACAGCTCCCATCAACGACAACGAACATGTCTCCCCCATCATCACTCCCGGCGAAACCACTAATATTAATTTATCTGCGGTGTCGCCTGTTGCTGATTATTCGACGCATCTGGACGGTTTCAGGCCAAAACTGAGGAGCTCAGGCAAAGATTCAGCCACTTGCGACTCGATCTGAAGCCTTAAAATCCACACACGTTTTCACCACAATCAACAATCGGATCTTCACAGCTGACACAACTACCACCGCGTCTCAAGCTTCGGTCTTATGACCACCCCCTCTCTACGTGGGGCCTGTTGCGCAAATGCAGACAAAATTATCGTCTCTCTAGCGACTTATTCGGGTACACACGGATGATTCTGCTCGAATCAGCAATTGCTCACCTATGCGTCATACACACCACCCCTTCAAGAAGTCACATCTTTGAATCTTGCGCTTGGACCTTAGGAAAACAAACTGGATTTACAAAATCCACACACGAAAGATCGTCAGAGGACAATGACCCCTCGGACATTCTTAATGACGCACCTGGTACACCTGACACGTCAAATTAGGTTGCACATGCTGGCTCTCCTGACCCACCTCGTGCCGAGGATGCCACGCCGCATGCATCGTAATCAGCATTCAACGCGTGCCCATCAATCTTCGACATCAAGTCTTACCGCCCGGCTTGGTCGGCTTTGTTGACGCGGCAGTCCGAGAGTTAACCATTTTCAAACCCCGCTCGAATCAAACGTTTTCTGCATCTCCTTGACCGACATACCTCACTTCTTACCAACGTCAATCGCCTTGCCAAACCCGCCACCGTTTGTGGCGTGCCCCTCATTACCGAGAAATTTGCGAAGACGTCCATGCAAAACATGAAGCACGCTAAGAGTGTCTTTACACCGCCTTCACACCGCTATCACCGACAACAGATGGCGACTTGTCGCACACCCTGTCTACGGGAAACTCGTGGTGACAGCGGAACTAGATGAGATGCAAAATTCAAGGCGATGAAAGTGTCCGTTGAAACGCACACTGGCGATATTCCAAAAGGTGCAGTTACTCAAGCTTCGTACTCACTATCGACGAGCTAGACAAGAAAACCGACGGAAAGGTGAAAGCGAGATGTGTCGCCCAAGGGTTCAAGCAACCATCGGACCCGAGGATACATCCTCACCAGTCCAACTGCCCGAGAGATCCAGCGCATTTGTGATATCTGCCGTAACAAACTTGACAGTGTAACAGATGGACGTATCAAGTGCATGTTTACTCGCAGAGCTGGACGAACCAGTATACATCGGGCTACCCAAGGGTTTGCCAGGACTAACGAGAACCATATGGAAGTGCACGAAAGCATTGCACGGATTGAAGGACTCCATTAGAGCATGGTATCAGACACTCAAGGAAAAACTAAAGGGATGCCTTACCCGTACCATGTCAGACCATGGGTCGCTTACCAAGAAGACAGAAAGGGGATCATGCAAGACGCGCTCTACGTGGACGACTTATGGGTCAGCTTTCAGGATAAACCGGCTTTTGATGACTTCAAAACATACATGAGTGATGTTGCTGAGATGGAGATCAAGAATTCTGGGACATGAGTGGTGTCTGCGGAATCAAAGCCACAGAGTCGAAGGGTGGCTACCGCCTACACCAACCGAAATACGTAAATGACTTGCTCGTAAGGTTCAAGGAATTAATCATCGGGAGGAAGCAGAAGGGGTCAATCGACCCATATCTTCGACCGCAGAACCTGGATCCAATTGACGATAAGGGATCAAGCTACATCACAAATCGCTCGGTTGTTTCAACTGGCTTGCTGGTAACAGCAGACCCGATCTGACATTAAGCCTGCTTCATTCACCAGAGATGCCACGCGTGTGGATTCGCTGGGGCTTAAGAAAGTCTTGATGTATCTAGTGAAGCTCTACGCTTTCAGTGATGCCTCGTTCGCTAAGGAAGAAGAAAGGAATTCCAGAGCCGGATACATCATACCCGTCAATGGGCCCCTCTCGCTTGGAGAAGGAGAAAGCAAACACTAGTTACGACAAGCACGTTTGCCGCAGAGTATGTGGCGTTGAGCCATACGACCACGGATCTACTCTGGATGAAGGGTCTATTCAAGCAACTTGGAGCGGGAATGACCGGAGTGTCCAAGATACTACAAAACTACGACGGGGCTGTGCTAAGCGCAAAATGTACAGGAAACAGCCCCCGCAACACCAGTTCCGTGGATATCAGGGAAAAGCATATCCAAGACAGAGTCCAAAGAAGAGATGTCAAAGCGCGACTGCCAAAGTGGGACTCGTTGTCACAGCATAAAGTCTCTGGCAGATTCACCCAATCACTGGCCTAAGCTGCTCCGGGGAGGCACCACCCTAAGCTCGGCTTTGATGGCACTTTTGCCGTCAGCATGACTGCAGTTCGAAGCACGTGAGGTGACTGACGAAAGTCTGCCGTGCCTCGTCCAGGCCACAGTCACGTGATGCGCCAAAGACAGGACTGGCGATGGGATGCCAGGCCCTGGCGGCGGATTTTTCCCCACCTGCAAAGGCGTGTGCTCTTTTCTGCTGCCAGGCACTGGCGGTTTGCAAAGAAACCACGGCGACCTTTAATTTGGTGAGCTGAAAACCAACTGCATTGTTGAAACCCGGTGCTTCAAGCAGAGCCAGCCGCGCGCAGACAAAACCTCACCGGCACGTCCCAACCATCTACGCCCTCTCAAAAGCCTCTGGAAAGAAACAAAAAAAAAACACAACACCCGCTCCATGTCGCTCGTGGACGACTTGCGTGACTTGGAAACATCCATCGCCGCGCTCCACGAGCAAATCGCGCCGCTCCAAGAAAAGCATGACCGCATGTTCCGCGAGGCCCGCGACTTCGAGGCCGCCTTCAAAACCAAGCAGCTTGTCCGGCCCGTGCCAGGCGGCCGGGGGCCCGTGCCGGCAACCGCGGACGACGCGCCGCCGTTGATTGTCCACTCTCATTTCGACGCGTCCATCGAAAAGTACTTCCGGACACCGGCCCTGGAACCCGGCCCTTCGACCCCCGCGGTTCTTCTGCGGAGACAGCTCCAAACGGCCGCGGGCCGCGTGGCCTTGGCAGAGAGCATATTCCGGTTCGGCGGCATCACGGCCTTTGCCATCAACGACCGCTTGTACGACCAAGAGGACGACGCGTTGTTGGGGCTCCGTTTCGACGTGTTGTGCCACGCAACGCTGCGGTTCATGGCGCCGCACTACATCATTCTCCGAAGGCGGCAGCCGGCGGCCAAGACGCTGGAGTCGGCGCCGGTTTCGGCGCTGGTCCCGGCCCCGGCCCTGACTTTGGATCCGGCCCCGGCCCTGGCCCTGATCTCGGCTCCAGCGCCACAGCCCTGGCTGGTGTTCCGCTACACCACGCCGCCGTACGTGCCCCTCGACCAGCTCCAGGACCTTCTTTTGCAGGGCGACGAGGGGCTCCAGAGCTTTGCCGAGCACGTGCGGGCGCTGTTGGTGGGCGTGCAGTACAAGCACGACAAACTAGACCAGCTCGCCGGCCTTTCGTACGCGGCAGTGTTGGGCCATGGCGCGGCCGATACCATCGTGTCCAAGCTCGAAAAGGACTTGGCGTGCACGCGCGCGGTGTTGACGATGAGGCGCCCGGCCGCGGCTGGCGGCGTGTTGGAAATCGAGCTTCTTTGCGGCCGCCTCGACGTGGACGCCGTGCACTGCACGTTCGGTGACGCGAGATCCGAGCTTGTTGTCCAGACCATGTTGCACGGGCGCAGCTTCCAGGCCTTGGCCGCGGCGTTCTCGGACGTGGTGCGGTACTTGAGGGAAACGGCGCTTCTTTGAGCTGTGCGTCCGATATCTGCCTTCTTGAGCCACTGAGGAGGCTGGGGACGCCCAACTTGGGTCGTCTTTGAACAGCGGGAGCTGATGCCACTTGCCGGCTGGATGTACTGTTTGATGTGCATCAACACTCCGACAGTTGTTGGCTGGATGTGCACCGACTCTGTTTAATGTGCACCAACACTGTTCGATGTGCTCTGGCACTGGCTCGGTGCTTTCGACATTTAACGGTTGGATGTGCACCAACACATGCTGTGTGTTCTCCGACGCTTGAATGTGTGTTCTCCGAGGATGTGTCCATTGGCCGCAGCGGATCGCGCAGAGTGCTCGGGTTGCGCAGACAAGTGGACTCCTGTTGCGTCGCCTGAAACCAGAGATACCTTCAAACAAGACAGGATAGCTTTTGCATGCCAGAGAGAAATACATGTTCATTGACATGGAAAACATGTCTATGCCCATGTCTGATATGTCCATGCTGGCGGTCAGGCAACTCATGCCAGTTATGCTGCTTATGCCAGTTATGTTGCTCATGTCAGTCATGCTGCTCATGCTCATATCCCAGAGTCTGCCAAATGGCGCTGGTCCCGCCCGTATACCATACTTGGACGGGGTGAGCCCACTGCGAACAGTGGGGGCACTGGACGATAGGAACAGCCCGCCTGAAGGACGATGTTCCGGCTGCACGCACGTGGCTGCATGGCTCTCCCATTTCACTCGTGGCAATGGCAGGGTGTTTTTCATACTAGGCCCCAACCCATTCGAAGTGATTTTCAAAAATCAGACTCCACCCTGACCTTTGATACTAGGCCCCAACCCATTTGGGGTGATTTTCAAAACTCAGACTCGACCCTGAGCTTTGATCCTCGACCCAGGCCCATCCGAACCCGATGTCGTCTCTAATCTCAGCTCGGGCTTACTTGTTGTCTTTCAAGCATCGGCCTTGAGGTGTCACATAGAAGGACAGAACCATTTTCCCTGCTCCCCAGAAGCCTTCTGGTGGCGGGCTAATGGCTTCCTGGAAACCACTTTTACTACTGCAAACTACTTCAGAAAAAAGAACATCACTAGTCTCTGAGAAACGCCACCATATGGATTTTCTCTGACGGTGCATACGAGACATCTGGCCATCAAGCCATCCATCTTATTGTGAAGATCATACAAAACAGTTTTCTTCAACAAACAAAGACTGCTTTTCAAGAACACCGTGGAAGGCTGTGGGTCTTTTCCACACCCATATTCAGAAGTCTGACGTAGCATTCATCTTTGAGATCCCATACTCGAAATTTTTTTCCTTGCGACTCTTTGTAGTCACCCTAGTGCCTACATTGACTTTCGTCTGCATTAAAGTGTCGATTCTCTTAATCCGAAGTGCGGCGAGCTTCACCCCTCGTATCGAGGGAGAATCTAAACAGACATTGTGGCAGACTCTCATAATGAGCTCAAATATTAAGAGAACAAATCATTTGACGTACTGATTTTGAGACTCGAAGTAAGAAGCCTTTACAGCTCTGCGATTTTGCCTCAAGCTTCTACTAACTAGTTGGTTCTCTGTATACCAGAGTGCCCAATAGCCTATACTACTAGATCGTAGTTTGTAAGACAACAACACAAACCATTTGACTTCTGAAAGTTATGTGACATGCAGTTTGCAGTCTTTCGTCGACACACGCACCCATCTCGTAATTTATGCGTGAAACACAACATTATCTTTGCGTTTATTTTTTAACAATCATATAGAGACTAAACCATACGTCGCCGTGTCATTTAAGCTTATACTCCAATCAACCACGAAAAAGTATTGCTTTTCAGATACGACCGTATTCTTTCCCTCCTCAGAAGGCATTGCCAAACCCGGCACCAGTGGGCTGGTAGCCCAAACCAGTGGTTTGACCCATCATGGGACCATTTGTGATCATCAAAGGTTGACCAGCTGCGGGCTCATCATCTGCGTTTTCTTTTTCCTTTCTTCTTTGCAAATCCTCGTATACCTCCTTAAGTCGCTGACCGTTCTCATAAGCAACGGAGATCTCGTATGGCTTGATGAAAGCACTCAAGTCGTGCAACCAAGAAATCTCAAGCACATAGTCGTACTCAACCAAGTCGTACCCTACGTATAAGAGAGCGGCAAAAGCCTCGTGGTTACCTGTCTCCACAAAGTAGTCCAAGGCCTCATGCGCAATTTTCGTGGACCCGGAAATACCAACAGTCCGGATCAAGTCTGCCCACAATTTGTCGCCCTTTAAGATAGAGATCGCTTTGTTGAACTTCTTGTGTCTGGTGTACAAGGTGGCGGAAATCTGTCTAAAGAAAATGAGTGAATGATTCTCCAATCTCTCGGCCAAGTCCAACGAGTTAAATCTGTTGCTAGATTCACTCTCGATAGCAGAACGCAAGGACTTGTAGTCTTCTTCCTCAATCAATAGATCATGGTATGCACCGTTCACAATTGAGTTGTTTTTGTCAAGAACAGAAATCAAGAACGGCTTGATCAATGGCAAGTTATCAGATTTGACAAACATTCTAACGAGTCTTGGCAAGTCGATCTTGGATTTCAAGACAGACAACAAGTCGACCAAGAGTGTTGGGTTCTCTGCCAAGTAAAAGTTGATGGCTTTGTAGTAAATCTCGAGGTTGGATACTTTAGCAATAATCTCCTTGAACGAGGAGTGGTCAAATGCGACTTCGGATCTCTCAATCATTGTCAAAGCAGCATTGTCCCATTCTTCATAGTGGCAATACAAGAAAATCAATTCGGGATACAAGTGCGCATCCTCGCAGGCGGTCAACACCTTAGGAATGTTGATTCTGGACCAGAATAACTTCAAGTGTTCCATAACCTTCTCTGGACTGTACTTTGAATAGAGGATGGCAAGCTCGGTGAACATTCCCATGTGAGCCCTCTCAAGCCCAAGACCACTCTCGAAAAGAGAAATCACCTCACTGAAATACCCGCTGTGTTCATATGTCTTGACAAGTTCTGGCAACTCCTCAGCATCGATAATCAAATTCAAGCCACAAATCTGGGCCAATCTGAATTCCTTGTTCTCAATACAAGCACTGTTCACCTGCTTCCAAACAGATGTGTTAGAAGCCTTTCTAGCGCAGTCAACCGCTCCTTGGTAATCCTCCAAATAAACCAATGTGGTTGCTAACTTTGAGTATTTAGAAACATTGGAATACAAGATCTTTGCAGCCTTGTAATTCTTAGCCTCAAACAATTTGTCACCAATGTCCTCCAATACCGCAACATTTGGTCCAGCCACAAACTTCTCAATTTCAGATAATTTGCCAAGGGATGCATAGCAGTTGATCACGGCATTGTCAATCACTGGTTCTCTCAAAGTCTCTCTTGACATATCCAAGAAAGGAATCAATTCTTCTTCTTTTCCAGCACGCTCAGCGATCTCGATGACTTGCTCGAAGTTCTGAGGGTTCCTCGACTTGACGTAAGATTCGATGGCTTCGGGGATTCTCAAACCGTTTAATTGCGCAGTACCTAATTGATACCATAAATCAGAGGTGTTGTACTTTTCGGCATACTGCTCGCCTCTGTCAAGAGACATGATGTCCTCAACCAACACTTTCATCGCTTCATCTCTCATTTCAAACTTGTCGTAGACTTCAAAAGCCTCCTCAAGCAACTCATTGTCGATACACAATGGAGCTATCTCACCAGCATCAAATTTGTCTAACTTCTCGATATAGTTGGCTACTCGAGATGGGTCTGCTTTGATAGCGGTCAAAATTAACAAACCTTGTAAAGAAGTGTTGTCGTTGAATGGAGAAGGCTCCAAAATGATCTTCTCCAACAATTCAATCAATTCTTGGGGTAAGTCATTTTCCATGAAGGCCTTAACAGTGATCGAGATTGGTTCAGGGTCACTGAGCTCGGGAATTCCCGTCAGAATAACGTGATCAATAAGCAGTCTTCTGTGCTCATTTTCCGAGTTCAATACCTTCTCCCACAAAGAAAAGTCAGACTTGCGTAACAAGTATCTGGCTTGGTACTTGTACATCTTGTTTTCATTTGTAATGTTAATCAACTCATTATCATTGCCACCCTTAGAGTATGCAATGTAAGCCAAGTAAGGGTCTCTCTTCTCACAATACTTACCCACAGACAATGTGTCATAATTGTTATTCTCCTCCAAAAACTTTTCAGGACTGTTGTTCGAGTCGATATAGATTTTAGCCAAAGTGTTGAAAACCTCTTGGTCTGTAGATCCTCCCTCAAGAGTCTTTTCCAAGAAAGGCAACAAAATTTTTAAACGATTTCTCTTCTCGACCTCACTCACCAACTCTTTTAATGGAACTCTACCGAGCACAGACATCAACAAACTCTTGATGATGTTCTCGTCACAGTCGACGTCCAACAAACCAGCAACAACTTGTGGCGTGTTGGCTGGGTTAACCTGCTGAACATAAACTTCAATGAATTTGAAGTACTTGTTCTTGTACAAGTACAAAATCAAGTCATGAACAAAGTTGAATCTGTCACAAACAATGATCAAAGGCAACTGGTCTTCCAACTGTGCTTCTTTCAAGAAGTTTTTAACTTTCTCGCCATTGTAAACATTGTTATCTCTGACAACTCTTTCGATTTCCTTTATCTGGTTCATCTTAGAGGCAGCAACAATATACTTGTACACAACATCTGGGTCTTGTGTCAAGTTAACAATCATCGACAAGTAGTAAGATAAGCCTTCATTACACTTGTAAGTTTCGAAAAGTTTGATCAAGTTCAAAGGACCAAGAAGGTCAGAGTACTTGGTCGCGACTTGTATCACAACCTGCAAATTTTGTTGCATGTTGTGTGTCATCAACTCATTCAAACAAGCCATGGATTGTTGAACATTCAATTGACCAAAGTAAGAGACCAACCAGTCATTTGGTAAAACATTTGTGTGTACGATGACTCTCTTGATATCCTTCAAATCGTCGTAGTGCTCCAAAGCTCTTTGGAACAAGCCAGACTTCTCACATAATCTACCAATGCTTGGTTTATCGTAATGACTAAACATTTGGTTGCCCAAGATAGCATCTGCCACTTGAGGTGCGTGCATCAAGTTGACTTCCAAAAGTTTGGTCTGCAAGTGGCCATCAGAAGGAGCATCTTTCTTAAGCGCATCCAACAAGAAGGCGGTACCCTGCTGAATAAAGTTTTGGGAGAAAAACAAGTCGGCAGTGCTCTCAATATTCAAGCTGGAGTCATCATTGGCCAAAAGCGATGTAGCAAACTCGCTAGCTTTATCTGGGTTGACGCGCACCAAATTTTGGATCAAGTTGGTGTAGTCTGGCTGGTAACCGACCTTCTGGCAGTAAGGTAAAATCTTGTCAAACTGACCTAATTCCGCCAAACAAGAAACAACCTTGATGTTTACATTAGCGCGAATGTACACGGCCAAAGCCAATGCGGGGTCATTGTAAGACTTGACAATATCACCCAACTCCTCGGAAGAAGTCAATTTGTCCTCTTTCAACCATTTCTCAAACAAAGGCTTGCGGTCTTGTTGCAACACTGGCTTAGCAAGTTCAACCGACTCATACTTGTTCAAAGAGCCCCTGTCTAACAAAGTGGAGAAATACTGCAAAATAGGAGAGATCTGGCCTGGTTGCGGCGTGATGTGCTTCAACTTGTTGATGGTGTCCTGGGTTCTCAACTGCTCGGAAGAAGCAGCGACTTTAGCAGCGTTGGCGTAGTCACCCTGATTCAAGTAGTTCTGGAATTGCTGGTTGAACAAGTTCTCTGCGCCCGGGAAACCACCACGCGAGGCGAGCGATAAGCCCAAAGGCACGTCGGATAACTTTTCCAAAACATATGGAATAATCTTGTCTTCGGCAACTTCAACCGCAAGCACTTGGCCCTGTTTGTTGATGGTGATAATACCAGTGCCATCCTTGTATGGCGCGGCAGTGAACACAGGCTCCGCGGTAATTCTGTTCACAAACAAGTTGGAGCCAGACTCGATGTCATACAAGTGAATGAATCCATACTTGGTCAAGATGTAAATGATTCCGTACTTGTCAGAAGCCTGCAAGCTAATAGGGAAATCGTTGGCGGCATCTGGAGGGAAGAAGATGTCCACAATCTTTTTCTGGAACGGTGGGTTACCATCAACGTGGTCAATTTCAATGATGTGCAAGCTTCCCTGGCCCAGCGCTGCCTTATTGCCGATACAGAACACCTTGGTGGGGTGAGGGGCGCCGTTCAACTTGATTTGAGCAAACTTGCACACATGGCCAGCAATGGCCTGAGATACGCCTCTGGACTTGCAAAAAAGCTGGGTGTGGCCCGCAATGCGGCCCTCCTCCTGCGCAATGCCGGTGACGGCAAACCAATTTAGGTTGGGCTCCGCGACAAAGTTGATAATCTGGCAGTTGTTCAATGAGTGGTGTCTGTCACTCAACTTCTCCGGCCCGTTATTGGTGCCATCGAACACGTTCCAGATGTAGATGCTGGAGGCGGTGACGAGCCCCAAGAACTCGTCGTTCAACCACTTCCAGAGCACCACAGGGCTCTCGAGGGTGTGCGACTTCAACCGCTGCTTCGAGCCTAAGTTGAAAACCTGCAAGGCAGTGCCGTTGGCACGCAATGCAATCACGTTTTGCTTTGGGTGCATGATGGCATTGTCCGCGGACATATTCTTGCGCGTGACCTCGAAGTTCAGGTGCAAATCGATGATGGCCACTGTGTTTCCTTGAGCGCCGCTTTCACGCACACAGATGTAGTGGTCAGACTCCAAGGTTGTCGACTTGAAGTCAAGCAGCTGGGGCTGGATGCCCAACTGAGTCAACTGCGACAACTGGGTGAAGTTGATCGGAATGTCGGCCATTGTTTCTCGGCAGTTTCCGGGCTTTTCTGGAGTGTTCCGGGGACTTCGGGTTCGGTTGGTTCTTCCAAGAAAAAACTGGGTTTTTTCAAGGGGCTTTGCGGTATTTTCGGTGGCGGGAAAGCTGGTCCTGCTTTCTCTGTTTGGGCTGGTTTTGGAGCCGGCTGATTCAAAGACAAGAGGAAAAGAACAAAATTGTTATTTTCTCGTTCAATTAAAATGCAGTGGGGATAGGGAGAAAAGCCGTACGATTTTTGGTTGATTGGTAGGGTTTTTCTGCGTATGTTCCACTCACTCAATTAACTTCCACGAGTGCTTTTGGACAAGCAAGTCATGAGTGGGGGCGCCGGCAACGTCGCTGGGAGTGCGTGGGAGAACCGCGCCTGGCTTACATAAGCGCGCGCGGCCCCCGTCAGATTCCATGGGTGTACGGGTGTCTGAGTCCATACACCCGCCCCTACTCCTTTGGCAGCCGCTGGGATATCTGTTCGTAATCCAGGGATATTCAACACTTTATGGGTTGTGCATCATAGCGCTTTCATATGAATAGAAAGATAAAATGGCGGTAGCCCGTTGTATTTTATGGGGGTCTGATCGTTGTGTGTTTTTGGTCCGTGGACAGAAAGAAAGTTGTTGCGAAGATTCGTGTCACGAGATATACTGGATTTTTGCGGCCGGGATCTTTGACTGCGAAATTGACAAAGTGCGCTTCACATCAAGAACACAGGTTGCTCCATGTGTAGAGCCAGACACCTTTACCGTGAAAAGATAATAAAGAAGAAAAGAAAGAGAAAGAAAGAAAAGAGAAAGGAAATCGAAAAGAAGAAAAGAAAAGAGAATAAAACAAACAAAGAAGCATAAGTGGACAGATCAAGACTCTTTTTGACTCTCCAGGCTGCCCTGCTAATTCAGCCTAGTCGCGGCTTCGAGACATGCATGGCGATAACAGATTTCTACCCAGCTCAGAGGCACCAGAAAGCCTCTGAAATACAAAAAAAAATCCCACTTATATTAAGCACAGTGGACTTACCGATAAAATTCGTGTTCGAACTCATAGATGCATACGGCACCGCTAGCTTATGTAGCCCATGTCCCGTAGTGCTCCATGGCTCGAAGGCTATCGATTAGGACTACCAGTAGCCCGGATCCTTTCTGTGATTTCAGCCCATTTTCCAGCCCTCTTGCTATTTTGTGCGCAGCCTCTTATAGTGGCGGCAGCACGGATTTCAACACGTCCTCCACGATCCGGTTCGTATACCCAGTGGTGGAATTCGGGTCGCTGTGGGCCCTGAACTTGTCCAAGTATTTCTTCACACAAGCCCATTCACTGCCGTACCAATCGCCCGTGAGCACGGAGATCTCCGTGCGTTTTCGGAGCTCCGAGCCCCCGCCCTGAAAAAGCTGGTTGGTCTCCCAATCGACTATCCAGTAGCCGATTTTGCGATACGCGATTTTCACGAAGTCCGGCGTCACGAAATCAGACGCGCTGTCATCGAGACTGGCCCACGCAACTAGTGCCTTGGCCAAAACCAAGATGCCCTCGGCCGCCCGCATACTGGGCCGTGTGGTCAATGGAGCCAAGGAACACAATCTGTGGGAGCGTGTGAACACCATCAATGAACACACGTACTCCTGGATCTCCGCATTGGCAAAGACGGCCGGCAAGAGTTGACGGGCCCTCAAAATCTTGTCGTGCGGAATCTCCGAGGCAGGCGTCTCCTGGCGGGGCACATGGCAAAAACTCTGGCAAAACCAGATCCTGTCCTTCACCTGCCGGTGTAGTCTGGGAAACCTGTCGCCGGCAGCCATGACCGGCACAATCACAAACATATCAGGTATTGTCACCAAGTACTCGCCAAATCTGATCGGCGTGGCCTTGTCTATATCTCGCGAGGCGAGAGTGTTGTAGCGCTCGATCTCATCAAACACCCTGAGGATATCTGACTTCACCCGCAACGTGGCCTCGAGGGCCTCAAGGTTTTTCCAGATGACTACTTTATATAGCTGGGGCCGTTCGCCCTCGCGTGATTTGACCATCTGCGAGACTAGACTGTTGTACGTTGGGCACAGGTGGAGGTCTATTTCCACCATATCGTCTGCAGAAAAAGACAGCAAGACGACATTTCTGAGTGCCGCCAAGCAGGCCGCGTAGTCGTCCGTGTGGATGGCAATGTGCTTGCCGGCTATGAAGGCAAGCGAAAGGGCCGTCCGCAAGTTTTCCATTGCTGGGGCGAGGACTGCAATGTAACGGTCATTTCGGGGCCAAGGTCTGGTCCTGCATGGCGCGCTGGGCTTGGCCAAAGCGGCCAGGCGAAACCGCCTGACTTTCTTTGTTATTTTATTTTGATTTTTTTTTTACTTACTTGTGGGCTCTGTTTCTGTTCTCGACAGGTATAAAATCTGGATCAGTGCCAGATTTGTTTCCAGATCACGTTCGCCACCAATGAGAGGCATGTCGCATTCGGAACGGCGAAATCAGTAGCGTACTACGGTTTGTGCTGGGCAAACATTTTTGCAGTAAAGACTGTTGTAGTATGGTCAAATACAACAAAAGTCACCTGTTGCTATGGTTGTTTCGTTGAATATTAATTAGAACTACTGGTAGATTTGAAGCGGAATGATGAGATATGTCTTTGCGCGATGGTGATTACAGGTTAGCCTCCATGCATTCAAGCACAACCTAGCTACGGCACTATGCTCAGTCCAAATTTCCCTTGAGAATCCGAAAAGCTAAGCCGACCAAAAATTGTGCTCTTGGCGGGCCCCATATTTTTGCATATCCAGATTTTAAAGAATTGCCCGAAATCTGCACCGAAACTATACACGGCTGGCGCTATACGAGGGTATATTCAGAAGTGTGGCCTTGTGCTGCCTTGCAATCATCTGCTCGTTTTTATCTCTGGAATCGGTTATAGAAAGAATTCAGCCCAATGAATGCAATCAATCTCTTTTTTCCACAATATCTGCCGCTGTTCCCCTGCCGCTGCTCCAACTTTCCTAATATGGAACATATCAACGTGTCCATTTTCTGAGCCCTGCGATAGCCGCATCTGCGTCGCTAAGCAATTCTAGACCCTGCAAAGTCAGCACACTATTTGTTCGGACTAAAGACGATTTTGGACTAGCTCCCCAATTTTTGAAGACTTCCTGGTAATGTCAATTCTACACTGAAACCCAAAATAGTGCTTGAATCTCCGAACCCAGCTCGTAAATTAGTTTATTGGACATTCCGGATGTGGTACCGGATGCGAACAATCGCGGTCTCCGATACATGGAGGCATGTTTGAACCTAGAATTTATTAAAAAATAGTGGCCGCCTGCAAAAAAGAACCTTAAGAACTTCTATAGGTGGTGGGCGAAGCACTTGAATCGTAGAAGAAGCGGAATCGCCAACTATTCAGCATGCCTCGAATCACTAGTATATGGGATTATCCGCTAGTTGAAGACTTGTTTTTGGAGGACGTGATGCATCCCGATATTCCCAAGTATGTGGAGCACTTTCAAAGATACCACCAGTATCCAAAACTCGACCCACACGCTTTCGATGTGCACGACTCGAGGTTCCAAAGACAAGTCAAGTGGGCCCATTTGATGGTTGATTATTTTCACCACATACCGGATGAAATCCTCTCTGAAACACATCGATGGATTGGCCTTTTCGAGCCGTTGGAAGTCCGCCAGTTTGTTCGGGTCAAGTCGGCCAAAGACCAGGGCGTGGTGCTTCTACATTTTTCTTCTCCATCTAGCAAGACTGATCGTCTCTACGACAAAGAAATTGGGCTAGTTAAAATCTTCTTCCACAATCTCTACCTAAAACTCATCCACGACTTGAATCTGGAAAAAACACAACAAGAGCTCGACCGCTTAGAAACAAAATCCGGTCGTGCTTGCAATGCGCGGGAATGGGATACCTTCAATATAGAAGAAGCCTGTTTTTTGCGCAACCTTATCGAGACAAAACTATGTATAGAGCTACTTGCCAAAGCGCAGATCTCTTTCGAATCGGAATCGGGCTTCATGCTAGTTGAGGAATACAAGCTTGAAAAGACGGATTTTCTCTTGAGTCCGTTTTTGCACCGCTTGATGCGAGAATCCCCTCAACAAATCAGATACGAGGAGCTTTTGGCTAGACTTTTTGACGAGAATGGGCCCATTGGCTCTGAGCAGAGCTCCATAAATATAGATGTTTTGGCAAGGGGCCGTGAATGGAGAGGCTTCAAATTTGGCTTCCCAAAGTCTCTCAAGGGGAGAGTGGCAGAATTGCTTCAAGCCCACGTGAGGTCCAGCTACAACAAATTTCATATACTCCATTATACAGAGTCGCCCTATGACGAAAATAAGTTGGAAGCATTCGGTGTCATGCGTGTCAGCTCTCGCTCGTATCCACGAGGCTCGTTCGATAACCCGGGCGAATATTGCAACACCAGTTTGGATTTGAGTGAGGACTATCGGGAGTGTTTGGAGTGCGGAAGACTTATACTTCCAAATCTAGGGTGCCCAAATGAGTGCAAAGACCCTTTGACAGGTTTTGATGAGTCATGGGGATTTCTTAGCTGTTGAGGAACTCCTGTGTAATTGATTATGACATAGCTCTCTCGTCCGTAACTTTCGTATGCGAGAATTTTTTACTGAAGTATACGATTGATACTTTGTCTCCTTTAATAAGCACTAGATAGTCCAGATTGATCTCGTGGGTAGCTGCATTAAGCTTACGGGCTTTACATTGCACGAATCCACCACTTTGCCTCTAAATTCCGCGCAAGTGATAATATTACATGTTAACTGCGCTCTGTGCTCCCCACCTACAAGCTAGATTCAGAATATCTGCAGCCGTTCCCGCAAATTTGCTTTAACAATAGTTTTTAGGCGACGAGCGTGGAATCACTACTGGCCTCATCTACTATGCCTGGGGTAGCGTACTCAAAATGGCCTCATAGAACGTTCCACAATATTTCCCTCGATGTAATTCTGCCTGCTCCAGCAAGTTGTCATATATTCCAACTTTACTGCTGTAAAACCAGTCCCAATGGCTTTAGGAAGATGTGGAATGCCTACTTTTTCGTCATTCCGAAGAATGTGGAAGTAAATCTTGGTCAAAAATTCATCGTTTGTGGTGAATTATGAACGCGCAGAATTTGGGCGGCCCCGAAATATCATGAATCACGTAATTTATTACAACACAACGAAGCATATTATTTCTTTAAGCACCAGATTGTTTGGAAATACTTACTTAAGCCATATAGCCGCTTTTTCCCTTTTTGGAAATATATTTTGATTTTTTGGCCCCGTAAAAGAGTTCTCAATATAATTTCGCACGGCTAATCAATTTGAGAAATAGAAAAAGTTCCTTGCATTTTTTAACAAATATTCAAACACCCTTAAAAAATACTGCTGACTTTTGTTGAACTCAATAAGCACACAATGTGAAGCTTTTGAAATTAGTTTTCAATTATGTGGTGATGTTCTCTTTGTGGTCCGGTAGAGGCAACGTCTAAATAACTAACTCCTGTAAATCATAGCCTATAAATTTCCAAAGCTTGATGTGAGACGAAACCGCAGCCAATGCTTCTGCGGGTGGATAAATTAACTTTCTATTAACTCACTTTAGATGGTCGAGAATGATGTCTTTTCTGGTTCAGAATGACCACGTGAGGTAGCTGTTTGTCATGGAAAATTGTGTGACCCAGATCAGCAATTTCGAGTTCAACCATGATTCAAATGCAGTTCACACTAATGATAAGAGGCCGTGCTATAGTAGCAAAGGGTTGCGATGAGGGTAGCTTGGAACGCAGAAAAAAGTCGACCCAGGCTCAGATGATGGAGAATACAAAAGAGAAAACCGTAAAAGAGGACCGTCCATATGGTTAAAGAGTCAGCTCAAAAGAAGAAGACCAAAAGCATTTTGAGGAATGTGAAAATGATCAACGAGGGAAAATATACATAAAGAATATCTGTAAACAGATGCATGCACTGACTTGTCCATAAACCTACCTTGTTTTGAAACGTGGCGGAGGCTCAGATCTAAATCTTTGCATACGTCTACCGAAAAATAGCAGGTACTGAAATTTCTTGATCATAATGTATGATTTTCAGTGTGAGAAATCTTCAATTCGCCGGTATCTATTTTTGGAAGAGGAAGAAGAAAAGAGACGAAGTCACCTTTCGCAGCCTCGTTTTTGGATACTTAGAGCATGAAAAGTCCCAGGTATATGTTTCGCGAGAATACAAAGGCGGGTTTTACCTAATATTTTAGATCCAATCAGATATTTATTTCACTATGGAGCAACATAGAAGCTGTATAGTGTTCTGTTGAGAATCTTCTACGGAGCAATATATGACCCCATTAATGCCTTCAATGAATTTGGGTGTTCGAGACAATTCAACATGATTTTTTCAGGAATTTGTCAGACTCATACAAACTATCGAATGAGGATTGGCCCTAGGAGTCAATAGAATCTTTTTTGCTGAATTAATTTGACTAGGGGGTTAAGACAACAAAAAAATTCCCAAAATTTTTGCCAGATCCCGAACAAATCTATAGTGTCAGATCACAACCCACCGCTGTCGCTGCGATATGGCCTGAGTATGTCCTCTTGGCTAGTTTTTGCGTGCATCAATTTCGGCGCAGGTTTCAGAAAAGTCGTTCAAGCAGAGGTTCTTATTGTATATCATGGATAGGTTGTCCGAGGATCAATTTTTAGAACTAAAAATTGTAAAGATCAACATAATACTCTGCTGAATTAAAATGTTCAACATCTTTCAGCAATAACAACGAAGAAACATAATATTATAGGACTACGTGGCGGATTTAGAGCCACATAAAGATTCATTGTTGCCTGACTTCCCCAACTACACAAACCCACATAACCTTTCTAGAATAAAATTTGCCCTTTTAACGGTTTAAAAAGAGTTTTGAATTGTGTCCTTTTTTTGGTAGATTCATCTGATTAAAGGGGCAAAACTATATAAATAATATATATAAAAAACCTTTAAACAACTTCCAGCTACGTACCAAGTGACTTAGCTCGGCCCGTCTCCTCCGTTAGTCACGGCCTGGACGGCCCTCATGGCCCGTATCTGTTTACGTATTGGATATTACGTCATCGACTCCTAGGATAGGTCTCCTGTAGTAGTCGCTTCAACTCAGATGGTTGTAGCGGCCTTAAGGAGCCAAATTCCTGCGACGCGCCACGCCTTCTGGTGTAAACCTTGAAAATCGTGGTGACGAACCAATTTAATTTCGTTAAGTTCTCCAATGAGTTGTCGGCTGGGGCCAGCATCCATCTTTGGCCCACTGGGTATAATTTTTGAGCAGACAAACCAAAGATGTTTCTGTCGCCTCTTTGAGCTCAGAAAGCCGCAAGTTCGTACATTCGAGAGAGAATTACAAGTCAAATGTCATATAACGCTAAAAATGTAAAGTACTACAATACGCTTTTCCTCGATGTAACAGTACTTTCCCGAGGATGTCACCATCCTCTGGGATTAGTCTGTTAGTCACGTGGCACGTTGGTAGAATGTGCACGTGAC